CGCCGCGACTCCCCCGGCCCCGGCGAGGGACACCGGGCTGCGGGGCGGGGCTGGGCCGGGGCCGAGCGCGGGGCGGTCCTCACCGGGCATAGGGCTGGGCAGGGCCCGGGGCCTTCCTCAGTCCTGGCCCGAGCCATGCGCGTCTCGCTCTTCCCCCGCACCTGCCAGTCCCCTTGCGGGGTGCCGCAGCCAAAGGCAAGGGCTCTGCCTGGCAGCTGGGAGCATCTCAGGCCCCTGTGCTGTGTGCCAGGCCTCGGGCCTCGTGGCGGTGGCAGAAGTGCACGTGGGCCCGTGCTGGCAGGTCTCTGGCAGAGGCTTCTGCTACCAGAGCGGTCGGCGCTGCCAGCAACAGCCACATCCAGTGGGCAACAGAAAGTGCCCCTCAACTCACCCAGGCCTTCTGCCAGCAATCACGGCTGCTTCCACAGCGCATGCTCCTAGGGGTGCACGCGCACCCCCTGAGATGGGCTGTGCACCCCCTGGGAGCACCAGCTGCAGAATTGGAAGTGCACTTCTGGTTTCACCACTGGCTGGACGATTCCCCCCCGACAATCTGGTACCCACCCCAGACTCGGGAGGCACTAGTCGCCCATGCTGGAGCCATCTGAAGCCATGCAGGCATGGGCATGGGCTGGCAGCTTTCCTGGGGTGGCTGCTTTAAGCCAGCAGAAGGCTTGTAACATAGACAAGCCCCTACTCCTATACGTAGCGTAGGACCCGATTAGAGATAAGACACAGTGTCTAAGTGCTGAAGGGAGCAGGGACAGGAAGGAGTGGGGTTACATGATAAAGACCATGCGTTTGCTCGATTTAGAGGCACATCTCAAGTGTATTCAAACAGTGCTAGAAGGTGGCTTGTTACTAATGCTGGGGACAGTGTATAAAGCTGAAAGGGGAATATAATTTTACAGTGGAACGTGCTTGTCAGCAGTGCTACTGTTTCTTTTCTTCTCCAGAGTTGTCACCATGGCTGTCGACTGGATCGGTTTTGGTTATGCTGTGTTGCTGGCTGCCGGAGGTGCCATGGGATATGTACGGAAAGGTAAGGCCTGGGGTGGCAGGGGGACAGTAGCACCCAATGGGACAGTAGCAGATTAAGATTTATTGGGGCCCTAGGCTCCAGCGGGCAGAGGGGCCCTTTCCCTTCCTGGTGCTGCCACTCCCAAGGGGGGAGGCTGGGGGTGGGGTGGGGTGGCACCTGCCTACTTTTCCTCCCTGCTCCCTACCCCCTGCCATGGCTGGAGCAGAGTGGAGCTGAGCAGGGCAAGGGTTGTGTGGGCTGCTGCCTTTGCCCTGGGGACCCTGCACCAGCCATGCATCCTCTGCCTGCTCTGCAGTGAGAGGCATAACTTGCTACCCCCACTACTGCCAGGTGGGCATGGGACCTGTGGCTGGCGCAGGATCCCCAGGGCAAAGTCAGCAGGGCCAAGGGCCCTGAGCCCACAGCAGGCAGTCCACATCTGCCCTGTGCACAAATCTGGGGGGGCACGTACCTCCCATGCCTCTCCGCAGGGGTGCACTTAAAATGCTGCCTGCCTGCAAGGGGAAACTCACCATTTCCCACAGGAACCTAGACACCTGGGGGTCCCAGCCCAGGCCTCACTGGCCCAGGCGCTAATCTGCCTATGCAAGGGGAGCTTTAAATCCTTGTTAGTTCTGCAGGTGGACCTGCTGCATAACTTAGGTTAGAGGTAGCCAGTCTGTGGTGTGGGTGGCCCCTGTGTGTGGCAGAAGCAGATCAGGGGAGGGACAGGCAGCACAGTAGCAGGTAGGGCAGGATCCAAATGGAGCACAGTGGGTTGGGCAAGGAGCACAGGGCGGGAAGCAGAGCAGCTGATCAGGCAGGGGAAAGGGATCAGAGTGGCACTGAAGGAGGGTGCAGGGCTAATTTGTGACATACCTGGTCATCAGGTTTCACCCAGTTGCTCCTGCATTTGATCTAGTTACCTCTATTTGACTAAAACACATCTTCCAGAAAGGGATACAGTCCTTCTTTGAAGACTTCAGAAAATGCTGAATTCACCACAGGTATTATTCAGTGGACAGTTAGGTTCTTGAAATCATCTACTGTCAGGCAGTCTTCAGTTATTATTGGGGCTCTTCTCTGGACCCTCTCCAAATTATCCAAATCCTTCCTAAACCATGGACATGTTAGAGATCATACCAGTATGATATCTTCCCAAATACCAAATATAAACTTACTTGAAATAGGATCACACTCCTATTTGATTTTTCCTATTTATACATTCAAGGATTGCATCAGTCCTTTGGGAACAGCATCACAGGAGCTGTGATTAAGCATTAAGTTCAGCTGATTATCCACCATGACCTTTCAGTCCTTTTTCAACATCCTTGATCTCCAGAAACTTTGTTACTCTGGCCTACATTCTTTGTTTCTAGATACCTGATATTTGGCTATATTAAAACAAAACAAACAAAAAATCCCAACATGATTGTTTGCTTGCTTCCCTCTGACCAAAAAATCCAGTTTGTTAAATACCAGTTACTTGTTATCTTCATTAATTACTACCCTCCCAAGCTTTTGTGTGACTTAAAATTAGTAATGATTTTATGTTTTCTCACAGATCATGGATACCAATATTAAATAGCGTAGAGCTAACTGACTCCTACCGGACTGCAAGAATTGCGGCTGCTCAATGACAAATCTACATTTAAAATTGCATTTAGAGAGTGGCCTGTTAGTTAATTTTTCACTCCATTTAATGTGCCTCTTTTTTTTTTACTATATGACTTAAGCAAGATACTGTGTCATAGCAAGTCAAATGCCGTCTAGAAATCTGGATATATTGCACTGACAGTATTGCCTTTACCAATTAGTCTCAAAAGGTGATGTTAAATTAGTTTGACAAGATCTGTTTTCCATTAGACTTCCTTGGTTGGCAGTGATTATATTACTCTTTATTCATTGACTGCTATCAGCTATTTTATTGTTGCCAAGGATTGATGTCAGGATGAACTGCTGAAATAGTTTTTTTCCTCAATCTTCTGGAACTTCTGTAGTGTTCTGAGACTTGCTCAAAATCAAGCAGTCAATTAAACTATGCCAGTCTGGGAGCAAGGTTACAAAAATCTCTTGGCTGTTTCCACATTGGATGAGAAAGCTACATGAAGGCAAAATTAATCTCCCTGTCCAGTATTTTCAGTTAAGACACAGTTTGCTATCTAACCAATAAGAAACAGATTGCCCGGCTACTCACACATACAGAAAAATGTTTGGTAAGTCGCACTGGAAAGAAGAGACTAGCATAACGAATTTATAGATTGCTCCCAAAAGATATTATGTGTCATGACATTAGCAAATACATCAGGGGTAGGCAACCTCCGGCACAAGTGCCAGAGTGTGGCACAAGAAGGCATTTTGTTTGGCGTTTGTGCCTTGTGGTGGACAGCAAGGAAGGAACTGGGGCTGTGCTGCTGCAACAAGGATCGGGCCCCTTGTGGCTTCCCCACCATCTGCCTCTGGCACACCCCTTATGGCTCTCCCACCATCGGCCTCTTGCAAGTCAAGGTTGTGGGTGGTTTTGGCACTCTGCTCAAAAATGTTGCCAACCCTTGAAATACATAGCTTTTTCACAGGAAGGACTTGTAAGAAAGAAGAGATAGAGAGAAGACATTAATGAAAAAAGAATTAAAGTAATGTTTTAAATGCTTTGTTGCTGCAGGTAGTAAAACCTCCCTGGTAGCTGGTCTCACCTTTGGATCGGTGGCTGGTTATGGAGCTTATTGTGTAACACATGACCCCAGAGATGTGAAGATATCATTATGTAAGTATGTTATTTAACTAGAGGAAAAGGTATAGGAAACAAAAGACATTTTAAATTGTTTTTTGAACATTTATCCTTCATGTGTATAAATTCATCCATTCATGGTTTCATAGTTGTTAGGGGTTGGAAGGGACCTTACAGATCACAGTTTTGTTCTTCATATGCATGCCTTGGTTTGCTTGACAGTTTAAGTTGAGTCTTCGGTTAGACCGGTGCTTCCGAAACTTTTCTTCAGCATGACCCCACTTCCTTAGCATGGCCCCTCACTCCCAACCTACAGGCCCCCACCCCGCAGGTGCCTCTCACTCCTGACCTGCAGCCCCCTGGCCCTGCTGGTGCCTCTCACTCCTGACCTGCAGTGCCCTGCTACCTCCAGGTGCCCCAGAACCAGGTCCTGCTGCCTCCTGCCCCCCCACCCCCAGCAGCACCCAAGTCCTGGCTGCCACCCACAGGAGGTGGCAGCTGCTGCCCTCCCTTCTCCTGTCCCCTCCCCTGTGGGTGGTATGGCCAAAGCAGAGCCCAAGGTGGGGAGAGGTGGGATGCAGGCTGCTTGCTGAGTTATACTAAAGTGAAGGGAAGTGTCTACCAACACTGAAGACTGAATGTGGATTACTCTGCAAATGGGGCAGGTTGTTCAAAGAAAACTGGCAGCTGCCAGCTAGCACCCCCCTGTGCCCCACTTGTCTATAGGATTATACAACAGTATGAACTATAAACTACAATAAAGAGCCAGGGAAAGATTGCTAAAAGGAAATCTTTAAAACTTGCCTGCAGATTAGAAATAAATGTGGGCTGCTGACAGATATGGGGGAGAAGAAACCCTGCACTTTACTGGAAGAGCCAGCACATTCTGGACATTCGCAGGGGCATGTCAATTTAAAAGTAAAGCACTGTTTTGTGGGGTGGGGTTATGTCTGTAAGTAGCCTTAGTTATTACAGTTGTTTATGGGTCTAGTCTTGGCAAGGGTGGCCCACAGCTCCCATTGAAACAATTGTTTGCCATGGGCTTTGTCTTCACTGCCAAAAACCATCGTGGTACTTATCATGGGATAAGTGCTAGGTGCTAGCTACCAGGTTTAAAAGCCCTGATGGATACATGCCACCAGAGTTTTTGTCAGGGTGAAGTATAAATAGGGTTGTGATGTTAGCTGTGCCTAATCACCTTGCAGTAAAAGCAGTAGTAAGCCTATCTCTGGGTAAAAAAAGTAGCTTTCTCCCTGTAAAACAAACACAAATTATCCTTCTGAAAAATAATATTCTCTTAAAGCAAAAATGTCACCTTAGGTATTTAATGAAAAAAATAAAACAAAGAAAATTAGATGCTTTTAAACCTGTTTCTTCACTTACACGGATTAATGATTTTATTAGTTCAGATCTGGAGTTTGTAGAAGAGAAAAAGTGTAAGTAAAAACTGATAATAAAGCATGTTTCATGTTTTTCTAGTTTTGGTAGGACTAATTCAAATTTTGCACTACTCTGCCTGAGGCTGTTTATGCTAAGCATGCTAAAATAGTGTGTAAAAAGCTAATGGTGAGATTTGTGCATATAATAATTTGCACAAAAACTTGTTTTGGGAGTTTTCTTTCAACATGGAAAGATATTTATTATTATTTACTAAAAATTTAGATTCATGAAGTAGCAGGAATGTCACTGTTCACTGAATCTGACATAGAGAAAATGTTCTCATGGTGAAAGTTTGTTTTTAATTTCAGTTTTGAGTATTTTTGCCTTATCTCACAGAACTGTAGACATGTTTGCTCTTGGTAATAGCCCCATTGAACTCTGAGCTCAGTAGGATAACTTGCATGCGTAAAGTGGGACAACTTGGATGTTTTTACAGGATGGCAGCCTAAAAGATAGTAGTGACTATTGTATTTTCTTGCATACAGCACACCTTTTTTAATCAATTGGCACCTGGAAATTGGGATGCATATTTTGAGTAATGAAGTATGATAATAGCAATTTCAGTAGCTTAAGCCTTTTCTTGGGGTGGGGTAGGGAGTGAAAGTAATGCTGTGTGGGCTACAGGGAGCAACACAGATGAGCATGCTGAGCTCCCTAGCTATCACTGCTCCATTACTTACTGCTACTTACCACTATTTTCAAAGAAAGTTTTTTTTTCTTCATTCTGCCTTTCAAAAACAAGGCACGTACAGTATCTAATTCTGGGGGCATGTTGTGTGGAAGAAAATACGGTATTTATCCATCTCAAAATCCAACAGTAACAAGGGTATCATACACTAAGCGATAAAGCTTTTCTAGGAGCCTAGGAAATAGCAGCCCTATAACTTTCCACTACTGTAAAAAGCAAATACCATACAAACACTTAAAGCACATTTCCATCATTAATGTTTTATTAAACAATATTTCATTTTTATATTTCTTGCCATTAGCATCACATTTCTCTGGACAATTTAATTCCTATTTCAGTGATGGAATATTAAAAAATAGTTTGTAACTGAGTGCTCAATTTGAGGCAGCTGAGAACAGTATTTTTCTAGAGAAGTCAATATTACCCCACTCCCATTCATTTCATTTGGAGCTGTGGGTTCCTAGCACCTCTGAAAATATGAGTGTCTTGGAAAAGAACACCTAAAATGAGCAGTTTTGAAAAATTAGAAGAGAGAGTATTACAGAATGGGCATGCTTTTTAGCCTGGAGTGGTAATGGATGTATTAAGGGCTGTAAAGGAGACTCATGTTGTGGAGTAGTCATTCTGTTCTTCAGAGTCATTCCTGAAAAGATCAGTGTACACATCATAAAATCAGAATACTTATGAGCAAAGAAACAGAAGTAATTTTTTAAATGAGGAATTTCATAAAGTTATTTTCAGTTGCCAGAACTTGCCTTAGCATTTTGGGTGAGCCCATGGAATAATTTCATGCTTTCCTCCCATTGAATGCAACCAGCTCCACTGTGGAGACAGCTAGCTTGTGGATTTTGGAAAGGGTTAGCAGGATGGCCCTTTAATCCTGCATAACAAAAGGAGCGGGAGCTCGGGTCAGCACCAGTCTCCTGCTGTAGGAGCTGTAGAGCTCAGCTACCCGTGTGGAACTCCAGCCATATCTAAAAAGAGGTCTTCACTGGCTTCCCATCACCATAGAGTTTTGTTTTTATTCTTGGGAAAGCTTCCACCCACAGAGCACTCTTAGTGTCATTAGGCCATCTTATTAAAATGCCCTGTATTAGGCAAGTAAAGATTTTTATAAAGGAAAAAAGAGATGGTAAGATTATATGACTTGGTGGCCTTAATTGCGTCACTGTTGGAGCTGAAGTTAGAACTTAGTAGTCCTGTACTTTGAACATTGCACTGGTTTCCTGTCTCTCTGTTAAGCTGTCCCCACCTTTTTCAGCCAATGCCCCCTTGGTCTATCCTTAGAAGAGCCAGCTAGGATTGAGCTAATGCCATCAGTGCCACCAGTAAAGAACGGCATGAAGTCCCCTGCCAAAAAAGAAAAAAAGAAGAACCTGTGGCTGAGATATAGGGGGACATGAATAGCTATGTTCTTTAAGAAAAATAATGGCAGTGTCAATTCTCAGTGCTGTGTTTTCATTTCTAAGGCTAACTTTTTACTTAGAAGGCAAGTACCATTTGTTTAACATGAAATCAGAGGTTGATTTCTACATAAGCAGGTTATTAAACTTGGGCATTGGGAAAGGAGGTCTCATGTTTTATGATAGTACTGCTCAGTCTCTGGCCTGCAGAGACATGTCATCCAGCCTGTGGAGCTCCTCATGGGAACAGAAACTTGGTGGTGGGGGAACATTAGTAACATTAATTGCCCCCAGAGCCACAGCAGTTAATGCTGCCACCTCTCCCCCACTGCTCAATTTATGGCCCTGTGGGGGGTCCCGTAGTCCAGATGACATGGTCCTGTGCACCAGATCAGGCTGATGCATGGGGTCATGCTGTGGCTGGATCTAGTATGTAGGTCATAGTGGTGTGCCAGATCATACCTGCACACTGGTCCCACACCTTTCATCAAGAATGTAGAATTGGAGAGGTTGAGCACCACTGGTGTGTGATGATGGTCTTTATAAGACACAGTCAACTTGTACAGTGAGCTATGGCTTTTTATCATGGCTCATACTGCTCCATGTCTCTACACATAAATGTGGAAGTATAGAATTACACTTTTGGATGGTATTATTCATATCTGCAGAGTAAGATTTTTGCATTCTTTTGTGTCTGGATACTTTATTTCAGGCTGAGAAAATCAAGCTACTGAAAAAAGCATGTATTGTTTTATGGCTAATTGCATCTCTTTCTAATCTAATAGCTTATGCTATCAGAGTTTCATAGCAGAATATTGCTAACAAATAATACATTGCTCACTAACCATTGTCTTCAAAATTCCTTTGCTAGAAGAGTAAATTCTGTATTGATTTATCTTTTACAGTTTCTGCTTTTCTTCTGACCATTGTAATGGGAGTAAGGTTCAAGAGGTCCAAGAAACTTATGCCAGCTGGCCTAATAGCTGGTATAAGGTAAATACATATTCAAGTTTCTATTGTAGTGGTGCCAACCAGTTTCAAATGGCTGCTTGCCAGTTGATGTCTATCCAAGTCAGACTTAATTGAAGCTGAAGATGCCTGGTTGGAGGTCTGAATGCAATGAGCTTGAAGGTCTTGATACAGTTCTGGTAAATAGCTGTTCCTTTAAAAAATCCGTACGTCTAACACTGGTATTCTGCACAAAGAGGATATCATTACCAGCGATATATCACTCGATATACTGATTAGCCATTAGAAGTATGAGTTCTTTTTAGAGATAGGCACCTAAATGAAAGTACTCTGTTTTTCAGAATTACTAAGTATCTGTGACTCCCACTGAAGACTTACCTTTGAAAATTGGTCTGCTTATATTTAGTAGCTTTGATTTTTATGCTTGAGATTGAACATCTGAATTTGAAAGTGTTGGCCAACATTACTGCAAATGACTACATAAAGCACCTGTTTCGTTCTTTTGCTACTGTTCATCTTGCATATTATAGACATTTTCTATATTTTAGTTCCGTAGTAAAATTCCAAGCTTGCTCTTCCAGTGACTCCATATTTCAAAACTCTTTTCAATTTCCAAGTCCCAATTAATATTCAGAATGGGATAAGCTGAAAACTGCACCTAAAAATCAAATTTTCTTCTCTTTTGTACATCTGATATCTAAAAATTGTGTTATCAGAAAATTAACTGACGTTTTTACTGTTGCTGTATGAGGTAAATGAAATGTCTCTCTTCCTGAACCTGTATTGTCCATGCACAACTAATTGATGACAACTTGTTAGCATTGTATCATAAACCATATTGTCAGTTATGTTCTCAGAGCAGTATTTTCAGCAGAAGGGAGCATTATGATCATCCTGTCTAATGCTTCCCTTCCAACAACATACTACAGGCCATAGAATTTAACTAAATGATTCTGGCAACAAGTATTGGCAGGAAGAGCAACAGATCCAGTACAACTGCATGTATAAAAAAGTAAGCCATGTTTAGCACAACTTCAGCTCACTATTGTGAGCAGTTTCCATTGCAAAGTGTAGACCAGGGGTTTTCAACCTTTTTGGATCAGTGTACCCCCAGACATTTGGGGTGGGGGGGGAGGGCACAGCCAGATGTGATGCGTTGGCAGCTTCCACATGCAAGTTTCCCCTGCGTCCAGCTGGGTGGGCGTTGCCTGCACTGACCTGCACGTACCTCCTAGGGCCTTCTCAAGAACCCCTGGTGTAGACAAACTTCTGGGTTCAGTCTTAAACTCATCCAAGGTTAAAAAGAAAGCATTTTAGTTTTCCAAGCTTCCTTGTAGCAGTTTTGTCAGTCCAGGCCTCTTGTAATTTTTTAAAATGAAACTGTGATGACTATCAGATAGAGCTTGAGCTTAATGCTTTGGCATGGGCAGTTTGTCTATAAGTCATCAATAATGTGAAATAATTATGGTGACTTTGAAATAGCTGGATCACATAGAAAAAGCAATTTAGTATTTTTATTTTCAAAGAAACTCTAATGCATCACAATTTAAAGGATGTCTTATCACTCACTTAGGGTTTCTATCACTGTAATTCCATTCACTATAATGTAATTCCATTCACCTACTCTGGCTACACATAAATGTAAGTGAAAATTGGGCCCAAAGGGTATATGTTTCTTGGCATTCTATAATCCCTAAAGCCTCATTCTCTACACTGTTGCTCTTTTTATGTTGATGTAATTTCATTAACTTGACATAGAGCTGGTGTTATACTAGAGTCATGTTCTACATGGAGAAATGCTTTAAAAGGTCCTCTTTTCAAGGTTGCAGATTCTCTCGTCTCTTAACCAATAGCACATTCATGTATAAGCTCTTTGCTGTATGATTGTCGATACACAAACTTTATTGTGCATTTTTAAATTCTGTTCTCTGTTCTGTTGCAGCCTTTTGATGATTTTGCGACTTGTTTTTATGCTGCTGTAAGAAACCAGAACCAAGAATTGAAGTAGAAGTATTTTATCTCTGGACAGATAGACAAGCTCTTTATACTTGAAAGATAAGTTTCAACAAAGCTGTTTCTGGCATTTTTCTGTTAAATGATATATACCTGTGATATGTTCCTGTGATCACCTCTGATCTCAGATTTCTCTGGTATTTTTCAAGTTTGGTTTATTTTATTCAACAAGACTGTTTGTTTGTTTTCATTTAAGCAGCTTGCTAACTTGCAGGTAACTCATTAGCTTGATTTTTCAAATGTTCTGAGCTGGTGACACTCCAATGGAGGTCACTGAGAGCTAGGAATGCTGTATACCTTGGAAAATCAAAACATGCTCGTGTGTCAGGAAAGCTAAAAAGCCATATAAACTATAAGCCTCTTGCTTCTGACACTATGTAATCAAAAGAAGCTCTAAAATATTGTTAGTATTGATTGTATATATTGTATCAAAATCACTGAGTAAGGGTAAATGCCTTGGCACTATAAAACACTGTTTCAAAATCTGTAAATCTCTGGTCTTCCATGTACAAATTGTCATGGATATTAATTCTAATAAAAGATGGAACTTTTAAAGTAGTTTTTCTTAATTTTGTTTATCTATAAGACTCCAAAAATATTCTTTTTAAGGCTGAACGTGGAGTGGAAGAGATTTGTCTGTTATCTGCATATACCTTTCCTTTAAGGACCCACGACTATAAGGTGCCCTCAGTTTCCACTGAAATGAATGGGAATTTGGAACTGCTCTGCATTGTGCTTAACATTTTAGACCCAATTAACACATCTTGTTTGCACTTTTGGTATGCAGACTCTCAAAGCTGACTTGAGCTGGACAAAGACACCAGGATGTGGACAGCATCGAGAGGGTCCAGAGGAGGGCCACTCGTATGATCAAGGGACAGCAGGGTAGGTCCTATGAGGAAAGGTTGCGGGACCTGAACCTGTTCAGCCTTCAAAAGAGAAGGCTGAGGGGGGATCTTGTGGCCTGTTATAAACTGGTTAGGGGGGATCAGCAGGCGCTGGGGGAGTCCCTGTTCCCCCGAGCGCCGCAAGGAGTGACCAGGAACAATGGTCACAAGCTGGCGGAGGGAAGGTTTAAGTTGGACATCAGGAGGCGCTACTTCACGGTCAGGGCGGCTAGGGTCTGGAACCAGCTTCCAAGTGAGGTGGTGCAGGCTCCCACCCTGGGGGTTTTTAAGAGGAGGTTGGATGACCACCTTACTGGGGTCATTTGACCCCAGTGCTCTTCCTGCCATGGCAGGGGGTCGGACTAGATGATCTGCTCAGGTCCCTTCCGACCCTAGAAACTATGAAACTATGAAACCATTTACTGTTTTCTTTCAGGACCAGACTTAGGGAAAAGGCAGACAAGGTTCTTTGGGTGAATCTGGTATCTTTTATTAGACCAACTTAAACAGTTGGAGAACAATTTTTAAGCAAGCTTTCGGGCTTAGGGAAAAGACACTTGGTTTTTATCCAGTATATTATTGAATAGAGTGTATACCCAGGACACAGTAGATCCAGGCTCAATTCCTACTTCTGCATAAGATTTGAACCCGTACCTTCCAAAAGAGTCCCCTCGCCACCAGATAATAGGCTGTTTTGTAGTGAGGGTTTTCTCATTTTTTGTTCCAGCTGTTCATTTGCATGAAAGAAGTAAATATTCATTAACATGAGCAAGTGAGCATTGTTCTGTAGTCCAGTGGTTAGGGACTTACCTGGTAGGAGGGAGACAACTGGGGCTCAGAATCTGTATAGGAGGACGTCTCATATCCTTGCCAGATGACAAACTGTTAGACTGCTGGTTAAAAGCATATGAGAGTAGAGATGGTTTGGTACTCCTCTTTCTCTCTGATTTTGAGCTTCACCTGTTAAGTGCTCTCAGAGCACATCTACTCAATTGAGCCCTGCATGTTAGCCAGTCAGAGAAATGTCAAGTTTATGAATTTGGACATGTGTGACCTAGATATCTAACTACTCAGCCCTGTAGAGATTGAAGAATTCTGGGGGCAACACTGGCAACATTTTACGTTCCTACAGACTTCAAATATTTCAGTTCTCCAGTTCTCAGAATATGCCTAACAGAACCAAGTCCATAACAAAATGCAAGGGCAGCTGGCACTTTCTTTTAAAACAGAAGTGGTGGTACCCCCTTTAAACAAGACCTACCAGTTAAAGAACTAGTCCATGAAAGCTACTTTGCCCTGTCAAAGCCACCCTTTTATTAGACTAATTCATGAAGTTGGGAGACATGAATCAAGCTTCCAGTCTTTAAGGCCCCTTTATCAGGGCTCAGGGATTGATGAAGGATGTTTTAAACCCTAAGGCTGGTCTCTCACGACTATGCAAGTTTGTTCAATAAGAAATACTACCTCCAGCTACAAAAAGTATTCAATAGGAAGCTAAGGAGTCAGATACAACACATGCTATGGTTGGCTATTCCTCCTTCTACCCATCTTCTGTTTCTGCTAGCTTACAATAGATAGGGAAGTCAAATATCATGATTAAAAAAAGCTCATAAATAGCTTTCATTTCCCTTTGGCCCTTAGTCTTGCCATGTATTTATTAAATTTGTGTTAAAATTTCATCTTCAATTTTGTTCTTTTATGCTTCATATATTAAAAAGGGTAATATTTGGTCTCCTACATTAACTTGTAAACTTATGCCAGAGTCCTGAGCTCTCAAGTGAACACCTGTGCAAGAAGATACTGGTGATATAGACAGCTGTGCAGAAATGGGGGTTTTACAAGCTGTATGAAAAAAGCCTTGAGAGGCTTGAGTTATAGCTGAACTGTTAAAGGAAGCATCATGAGACAGTATATAACAAAATGGGCAGAGGCAGAACACTTGGGTTCTATTTCTGAAAATAAAGGAGTTTTCCAGAGTCACACAGCAGTTCTTTTATGCCTCAGTTTATGTATCTTTAAAATAGGGAAATAGTATCTGCCCTCCCTCCTAAGGTTCTCAGAGGGTACAGCTGAAACGTACTATTCAGGGGCAGATCCTTGGGGATGGGGGTTGGGGTGGAGGTGGTACAGTGGAACATTTGCATCCCCTTTTCATTCTTGGTCCACCCAAAGTTTAAAACCGACTGCCTGGCAGGAGTGAGGGAGTCACTTGACTTCATTGCTCATTATATACCCGATTTCTTCTAAATACTTCAGCTGCATACAGACATGAAAAAGAAACAAACAATGCTTTGTTTTAAGCTCGGTGTGCCCATGCAGTGTGTGTAGCATATGCCCAGAAGACGCATTGTATTAGTTGGAAGCAGTTGGCCCAATGGCTGTATAGATCAGGTGCTTCAGCAGAGCAACTTGGTGTTTTTATTGAATAGATGATTCAATCAGTTATTGGATAAAAGGGCCAAAAGCCCTGCTGAAGAGCCCAGTCTATACAGATGCTGCAGAGCCAGGTCAAGCTAATGGGCTGCCTCTTCTGGTAAAGCATTGTTGTTTTGTTTTGGGTTTTTTTCAAGTCTTTCACCCTCTTGCATTTCACAGGTGTTAATGACTATCTCCTTTTTAAAGTCTTGATGTCCCACTAACCAAGCTACCCTTTTTTCTGCAATTCTGTTGTCTGCAAATGTGCCTCATAATCTAGTTCCTATTTCACAGCTCTGCAGACTGAGTTTAATTCTACCTAAAAGTATTAACACAGGTATGGAAATGTTAATTCAGATGAGCATTGACTCAGGTATGGAAATAACTTTCAGTGAAGCACTGGATGCACTGTCAAAATGCTCAAGAAGGCTAGATTTTGTATTATGAATCTGAAAAAAAGAGATGTACATTTTATTGACTACAGGGCTGATGAAACAATATATGATTAGTTTTGCCTAGTTTGATTGCTATATCATATATTGTGTAAATATATTTTTGTACACAATATATGATATAGCAAATTAATGCTCATTCCAATAAAGTTATATTTGTTCTTGCTTTGATCTTAAAACTGAAAATAGCCATAGGGCCCTGTCATATTTGTAAAGCCTCTAATTTCTAAATGTGTTGTGTTATGGCTGACCTAAACTATCCGGACATCTTCTGGGAAGAGCAGTCAGCCAGGCTTGACACTCACGTAGGTTCCTAGCCAAGTTACAGGACCTCCATCTAACCCAGGAGGTGCACAGTCCCACCAGAGGAAATGCCTTGTTGGACCTAGTCCTGGCCACAGGCGATGACCTGGTGAGAGGACTGCAGGTGCTCGACCACCTGGGTGATAACGATCATCGCCTACTGGAATTCACCATCCAGCGCGGAGTGTCAAAGGCCTGTAGCAAGGCAGCAGCCCTGGACTTCAGGAGGGCAGATTTCAATGAGGTAAGGAGACTTGTCAGGGAGGCAGTGAGGTCCTGGAGGGGAGGGGAGTTTGGAGTCTGAGAAGAGGGATCGTTCCTTAAGGAGACGATCCTCCAAGCCCAAAGGGTGACAGTCTCAACGCAGATCAAAGGGGGCAAGAGTGTTCAAAAGCCCCCATGGCTCACCAAAAGCATCCAGGAACGTCTCAAAGCTAAAAAGGAGGCATACATCCAATGGAAGGGAGGGACCATCACCAATGAGGATTATACCTCCATTGCTCGAGATTGTAGGGGGGCTATTAGGAAGGCTAAAGCGGAGACGGAACTAGTGACCCAGTTCAAAGAGACCAAGAAGTCTTTTTTTAAACACATAGGAGGTAACGTGGGGCCTCTGTAGGACACGCTTGGAAATCTAGTGGTCACACCAGAAGACAAAGCTAACCTCTTTAACAAATTCTTTGCCTCCATTTTTCTCAGCAAGGACCGGGCCATCCCCACCCTACCGGGATCCTGGACGGACCCAGGGGAGGCACAGCCAGGCCCAGGGTCAGAGAGGACCTACTCAGGGAACTTCTGGTGGGAATGGACGTGTTCAAATCAGCAAGTCCTGATGATCTCCACCCCAGAGTGCTGAGGGAATTGGCAGAGGTCATTGCGGGACCCTGGCACAGCTTTATGAGCGCTCGTGGTGCTCTGGTGAGGTGCCAGAGGACTGGAAAAGGCCAATGTGGTCCCCATTTTCAAAAAAGGGAGGAAGAAGGACCCAGGAAACTATAGGCCCCTTAGTCTTACCTCAGTCCTGGGGAAGCTCTTTGAGAAAATTATCCAGGAGCACATCTGCAGGGGACCAGCAGGGGTGATTATGCTTAGGGACAACCAACATGGGTTCAGTCGAGGCAGGTCCTATAAGACCAATCTGGTTGCCTTCTATAACTAGGTCACAAAATCCTTGGACACAGGTGTCACGGTGGACTTAGGGCTTCCTAAAGTCCAGTAAGACTTTGACACTGTCTGTCACCCCATTCTCATTAAAAAATTAGGTGACTGTGGTGTCAATGCCTACACAGTCAGATGGCTCGCAAATTGGCTGGAGGACCGCACCCAGAGAGTGGTGGTGGATGGGTCACTTTCAACCTGGAGGGACCTGGGCAGTGGGGTTCCATAGGGCTTGGTCCTTGGGCCCACACTATTCAACATCTTCATCAGCGACTTGGCCGAGGGGTCTACTACAGACCACCCAACCAAGGGGAAGAGCT